ATTACAATCACCTGAAGAAGGCTGTAGCGTACAACAGCCGAAACGTTGTGCATATGGCAATGGAAATTAGGATAACAGTCCGAATAATGTAAATAATTCAAGTAATCATAATAGCTTATCTCAGAGATATAGACAGAGAAATATGACACAAAGGCCGGAGCGTACAACGGCCGTAACGTTGTGAATATGACAATGAAGATAAGGATAACAGTCCGAATAATGTAAATAATGCAAGTAATCATAATACCTCATCGCAGAGATATAGACAGAGAAATATGACATAAGGGTCGTAGAGTACAACGGCCGAAACATTGTGAATATGTCAATTAAGATGAGGGTAACAGTACGAATAATGTAAATAATGTAATTAATCGTAATACCTCATCTCAGAGATATAGACAGAGATATTAGCAGATAAATATGATATAAAGGCCGGAGAGTACAACGGCCGAAACGTTGTGAATATGACAATTAAGATGAGGATAACAGTCCGAATAATGTAAATAATGTAAGTAATCATAATACCTCATCTCAGAGATATAGACAGAGATATAGATAGAGAAATATGATATAAAGGCCGGAGAGTACAGTGGCCGAAACATTGTGAATATGACAATTAAGATGAGAATAACAGTCCGAATAATGTAAATAATGTAAGTAATCATAATACCTCATCTCAGGGGTATAGACAGAGATATAGATAGAGAAATATGATATAAAGGCCGGAGAGTACAACGGCTGAAACATTGTGTATATGACAATTAAGATGAGGATAACAGTCCGAATAATGTAAATAATGTAAGTAATCATAATACCTCATCTCAGGGTATAGACAGAGATATAGATAGAGAAATATGATATAAAGGCCGGAGAGTACAACGGCTGAAACATTTGTATATGACAATTAAGATGAGGATAACAGTCCGAATAATGTAAATAATGTAAGTAATCATAATACCTCATCTCAGGGGTATAGACATAGATATAGATAGAGAAATATGATATAAAGGCCGGAGAGTACAACGGCTGAAACATTGTGAATATGACAATTAAGATGAGGATAACAGTCCGAATAATGTAAATAATGTAAGTAATCATAATACCTCATCTCAGGGTATAGACAGAGATATAGATAGAGAAATATGATATAAAGGCCGGAGAGTACAACGGCTGAAACATTGTGTATATGACAATTAAGATGAGGATAACAGTCCGAATAATGTAAATAATGTAAGTAATCATAATACCTCATCTCAGGGGTATAGACAGAGATATAGATAGAGAAATATGATATAAAGGCCGGAGAGTACAACGGCTGAAACATTGTGTATATGACAATTAAGATGAGGATAACAGTCCGAATAATGTAAATAATGTAAGTAAATCATAATACCTCATCTCAGGGGTATAGACAGAGATATAGATAGAGAAATATGATATAAAGGCCGGAGAGTACAACGGCTGAAACATTGTGTATATGACAATTAAGATGAGGATAACAGTCCGAATAATGTAAATAATGTAAGTAATCATAATACCTCATCTCAGGGGTATAGACAGAGATATAGATAGAGAAATATGATATAAAGGCCGGAGAGTACAACGGCTGAAACATTGTGTATATGACAATTAAGATGAGGATAACAGTCCGAATAATGTAAATAATGTAAGTAATCATAATACCTCATCTCAGGGGTATAGACAGAGATATA